TTTGCCCAGGCTAGGCTCAATTTGTGATCCTCCTGCCTCAACCTCCTGGAGTGCTGGGTGAGAGGAGTGCACCACCAATCCTGATTTACTTGTCAGCTTTTCAATTTGTAAATTGTTGTATTCTTGTTTCACTCTGAATAATACTTTTTGTATTTTTTTAAATTGCAGAATCTTCGAGCCCTTAAAACCTAGAGCTGCCCCCAGATGAGACTAGCTGGACAGGCTGGGTGATTTGCTGCAGTTCATTGCTCTAGTGTAGGTGTGACATGTGAGATTACTCCTATCCCTGTCACCAGTCTGTCTGTGTCCAAAGGTGTAGAATTCTGCATGCAGTTCATACACCTCTGTGTCAGTGAGGGCCTATGCTTGTGAGAGTTCTGGTTATGACTATGCATGTAGTACCCTAACAGTGCATGTCCAGACAGCTGGGCCTCCAGCCTTTTGCTGGCTGCCTTCTCAACAGTGGACCCTGATGGAGGTGACAGGAGAGGAGCTTCTGTGCAGCCATGGGAGGCCTCCAGGGAGGCGGGGACTGAGGAACGCAGAAGGCACAGCTAGTGGAGTCTCAGCTTCCCCTCTCCCACTGACTTCTCCAGGCCTGGGTACCAAGCGTGATTCCTCCTCTTCAGTTCTTCAAAACGAAAGCTGGCTCTTTGGGATGCCCTCTCTTTAGGAGAGTCCCTGAAGAGTTGAGTACTAGGGGCTTGGAGGCTAGGAAGTAGGAGGACCAGGCTCCCAAACCAAGGGAAGAACCCTGACAGGTCTGTAGGCCACAGGCAACCTCTTAGGTCCTGTGCACCTTGGCTATTGAAATTAAAGAGAGGAAGAAACACAGGCCCAGTCAGAAGAGAAGAGGCAGCAAAAGCACTTGAGAAGCTGTGAGCCCCCCAGATACAAAGGACCCACAACCTCGATATTCATTCTTTAGCACATATTTTATAGGTTGCATACTGTGAGCTAGGCTTTTTCTTTGCCCTCCAGAGGGACATAGCCAACCCCCAACAAAACAGGCGTTGGTATCTGTCCTTACAGACATGCCTTGTAAGGACACAGTCAATGTATATTATATAAAGCATATCATTTGGTCAGGCACCATGACACTTGCCTTATAATCCCAGCTCTTCAGGAAGCTGAGGCAGAAGAGTTGCAAATTCACAGCTAGCACAGACAATTCATTGAGACTGTATCTCAAAACAAAAAATAAAAAGGGCTCAGGATGTAGCTCAGTGGTCAAATACCCCTGGGTTCAACATACAATACCACAATAAATTTAATTACTTAAAAACAGCATTTGGCAGCTGGTAAGTGCCATGGAGAAAAACAAAATAGAAAAAGGAGTAAAAAGTGAGAAGTGTCATCTCAGATGGTCTGATTCTGGAAGGACTGTTAAGAAGGCAGAAGTTAAGAGGTGAGGGGGCAGGCTGGGGCCAAGCATGCCAGGCAGAAGGAACTGTTAACACAAAGGCCTTGAGGTGGCAGTGAGCTTAGCTTGTCAAGAGAACAGCGAGCAGAGAGTGAGCTGGGCAGACTGTCTCAAAATAAAAAATAAAAGGGCTGAGGATGTAGCTCCATGCCAACAGGTAGGTTTAATTCCCCAGGTCAAAACAGGAGAGGGGTAGAAGCCAGGAAATAATCTAGGAAATATTGCAGTAATCTAGGGCCACAGTGGTTTAGATCAGGGTGTAAGGATGAAGATAGTGACAAGTAGCCACATTTTTGACATATTTTAAAATAAATTGCTGACTTGATTCAATGTTGACCCAAAAGAGAAGAATCAGAGATGATTCTAAAATTTTTAGTCTAATAAATTGAGGGAATAAATGGCTTTTCCATTTACTGAGATAGATTGCTATGTTGTCCAGGCCAACCTTGAACTCAGGTCAGCTGCCTTGAACTTATGGCCTCCTGTCTCAACCTCCTGAGTGCTGGATCACAGCCTCACTCTTGGCTTTTTGTTTGTTTGTTTTTTTGAGACAGGGTCTCACTATGTAGTTGAGATTGACCTGGAACTCACTATATAGCCCAGGCTGGGCTCAAACTCACAGTGATCCTCCTGCCTCAGCCTCTTGAGTGCTGAGATTACAGTGTTCGCTCTTGGCTTTGAAGAGGGTGCTTGTAAGAGGAGAAGACAAGCATCTGTCAACCACAACTAACTAGTGATCAGTGGTTTTAGCAATGTGATGGACATTTGGTAACCTTAACAAGGGATGGTTCATATGTCTGTGAGGATACCTCAATGGAGAGACTCTGAGTATGAAAGAACTCAAGCCTGCTGTAGAGGGGAGCAGAGACATAGATTAATAGAAGAGTGTGTGGGGTCAAGGTAGGTTTTTCTTGGGGGGCGTTGTTTTTTGGCATTTGGTTTGGTTTGGTCCGGGTTTTTTTTTTTTTTTAAACAGGGTCTCACTAAGTAGCTGAGGTAGAATTACCTCACCTACTGGGATTACGGACGTGCACCACCCACATCTGGCTCAAGGTAGTTTCTTAATCTGTTGTCTTGCAAGGACTCAGTACCACAGACAGGATGATTTTAAAGAATAGAAGTTTGCTCAGTGGCACCTTGCCTGCCTCCCAAGCTCAAGATCCTGAGTTCGATTCCCCAGTACAGAGCCTGGGATGTCCAAGGCTTCTGCTTGGTGTTGGCTCTGCTCGGCATCTAGAAGAGATCTTTTGCCATGCAACGTAACATGGCTGCGGCGGCCAATGATGAAACAGCAAGCGTGCTTGTCGGATCCCTCCCTCTGCTCATAAACCTGCTCTGTTAGAGGGCCTCACTCATGACTTCATCTAATACAAATTATCTCCCAATGTCTCCACTTCCGATCTACATGTGATTTTGAGATGACGTTTTGGGAGACACATTTGTCGTAACAGACAGCTCCTGTGGTCTTGTTTGTCTGTAGTATTGTTTTTTATTTTTGTGTTTTGGGACAGGGTCAGGCCTTGTAGTGCAAAGATTGCATCTGTGCGCCGCCATGGCCGGCTTCTGTTTGCTCTAAGTGGAGAAATTACAATGTGTGTAGGCTGATGGGAATGATCCAGTAGAGGAAAATGTGACGGTTTAGAAAAATGACATGTCTTTGAGTAAGCCAGAGGGGATGTGGAATCTACTTCAGTGTAGAAGTTGTTCATTGTTCGGTGGAATTGACCTACGATAGCAAAAAGGGGAAGAAGAGTGTGTGGTCACAGCCTCAGGTAGGTAGTTGTGATTGTGGGTGTTAGAAGGAAATTTTGGAATGCTCTATTTCTCAGTGAAACAGGAAAAAAATCTAAGGCACGATACGGAGGGGATATGTGTCGGGCGGTTGTTGGTTTTTTGTTGCTGTTGTTGTTGTTGTTGTTGTTTTTTAAGGAATGAATTAGTTGTATAGGAGAATAGGAAGGTGAATGGGTTAGGGGAAGGTAATACGATTGCTGAGCTGCCCCTAGAAACCACCTGAGTTAGAGTAATGAATAGAAATTGTCGGTAAAAAAGGCTTTTGCAGATCAGCCAGAGATTGAGTTTCCCAAGAGGGCGCTGGCGCGCTGGTCGGGTTCCAGCTTCACTCAAAAAGGACTATAAAATGCACTTCCCCCCTCTGGAGGCAGCAATGTCCGTTGCCAAAACTACTACCGCTGTGAGCAGGATTCGAACCTGCGCGGGGAGACCCCATTGGATTTCGAGTCCAACGCCTTAACCACTCGGCCATCACAGCCACGTGGAGGCCTGTGCCTGTACAACTATAGCTGCCTATCAACGTGCCCGCCTTCTGCCTGCCCCACCTTAAAAAGCCTTGAAACTACTCTGCGCATGCGCATGACTTGGCGCTAACACGCAGTTTCCTGACGCACCCTTTTTTTCCCAAACCGCACTACAGCGCCAACAAAACGAGCCGGAACCTTAACCCATTTTTCCCATGCCTCTGAGGTCTGCGGCATGGGATGTCAACTTATCATTTTGAAAGCAAAGCGAATCACCTCCAAATTCATAGTAAAAGTTCACTAGTATGAACGGGACAGCCCTCGAAGTAGGGATTGACTTGGCAAGAACCTTTTTAAGTAATGGGCGTCGTAAATCTTTCCAGAGGTGGGGGGCTCCCAGCAATAACTTGACTCCCGCAACAAGCTTAGGCACCGCTGGGATTCGAACCCAGGATCTCCTGTTTACTAGACAGGCGCTTTAACCAGCTAAGCCACGGCGCCGATGGCAAGTACTCCTTCACCTGAGGTAGATCAGTTATTGTTATGTGACAACGCGCTGCAACAAGTAAAATAAAGGCTGCACTGACTCTACCCGCCCCCAGGTTCCCCATTCCCTTTCAGATGCCGAGCATTGAGGTTGATGCTTTGCCTTCCCTTTCTTCCCCAACATCTTTTTGGGCCAACTCAAACAAACGGTGCACATCCCTGTACCTTCGCTACCTAGGCTGCCTCGCTGAAGGACCGCCTCCTCTGTGTTGAGCAGGAAACTAAAAGAGAATCTAAACACCCTCTACTGCCTCAGGGTACCGCAGGGTTTAGCGGGCTTTTCCCCCTAGAGTCACAGCTGGAGTTTGCCAGAGCCCTTTTAGACAAGTGGGCTCATCTGTCCTTCCAGAGCAAACCCGGTTGAGGCGATGGTAGAGAGGGCAGCAGGGTCTGAATCAGGTATAGAATTAGGCTCAGCAAGGCCTTTGGCTGAAAGGGAGATGAGAGCAGAGGAATGGGGCTGGGGCGGGGGGACGCGACACACACAGACTGCCCACCCCACTAACCTTTCCGGAAGCGGGGGCACTCTTCCCATCACCCAAACCCCAAAAATTTCATTCCACAAAGTCTTTTTTTTTTCTTTTTGTATTAAAAAATAACAGACACGATATCAAAAACACAAATGCCATTGGTAGAGGGTACAGCTGAGAACGCCTGGGTCCCACCTGAGGGGCAGCACCAGGGACTCCATGGTCCACCAACTTCCTCCACCCTGGAGCAGCTAGGGGTTCAAACCCTTGGATTCTGCTTGGGCCCCAGGCTCCCCTTCTCCCATCTGGGGAAGAAGCAGGAGAGCTAGCTGTCTCCCCCAATAAATAAGTGCAGCCCCAACCCTGGGGACCAGATTCAGGCTCAGCTGGGATTTGGAGACCATTTCAGCAGCTTATCAGCAACTTTACCCAGAAGAAAGGACTCTTCACTCCTCTGGGCTGGGCTGAAAAGTTCCACCCCTGTTCCCTAAGAGGCCAAAAGCAGCCCCTGGATCCTGGACTGGTGATGGGGGTCCTGCCCCCTACAGCGGGAGAAGCTGGGGCAGTTTCCTACTAGTTGGTCCAGCCATGTGGGAGGAGCAACATGGGAAAAGGAAGCCTTTCAAGGACACCAGGAAGTGGCTCCCAAATGGAGTCTAGCTGGTGCCATTTTCTGCAGCTGGTAAGTCTGGACTGGATGAGCTCCCACCTCCTTGTTCTTCCTCCTCCATGGATGAATCCTGAGAGCCTGACATCTTGGCCTCAGCTTGGGCCCGGGGCTCCTCACCACCCTCACCCTCGCCTCCGCCCTCCTCCATGGGTTCCAGCCCCAGTCCATCCAGCTCTGAGAAGAGTGGGTGATCAGAGTGGCCAGGGTCTTGGGTGCTGCTACCACAGTCCACACAGGCCTTGGAAGGAAAAAGGGGATACAAGTGAATCAGGCAGAGTCCTTACTGCAAAGCTGCCGGATCAGATCCCCACCCCACAACATCCCAACAATGCTTCCCAAAATGTACTCCTAAGAAACAAGTCAAACTGGAAAATACAAAACAATGGAGACAGCATTAAAAAAAAAAAAAAAAAGTGGTTTCCTGGAATTCATGGAAGATTACTGTGCCATAACACAAGGTACATGTCACATCTGTCTAAATCTATACAAAGTACAACCCCCAAGAATGAGCCCTAATGTAATCTATAGACATTAGGTGATAATGTCAATGTAGGCTCATTAATTATTAATGAATGAACCACTCTGGTGATGGATGCTGATATGAGGAGAAATCTGTGTATGTGTGTTGAGGAAACATGTAGGAAATATGTGTACAATCCTCAAAATTTTGCTATTAATGTAAAACTGCTACCAAAAAAATGTCTTCCAAAAAAAGAGAAAAAAGCCAGGCATGGTGGTGCACGTCTGTAACCCCAGCACTTGGGAGGATGAGGCAGGACTACTTAAGTTCAAGGTCATCCTGGGCTACATAGTGAGTCCACAGACAGCCTGAACTACATAGCAAGACCCTGTCTCAAAAACAAACAAAAAAGTCAAACAGATGCCCTTGGGGTCCAACAAGGTTGGAAAATATATGTACCCTCTATTGAAACCCCATATGGAATAGTTACAGTGCACAGCAGCATGGGATGGGCTCAGAAAGTTCTGCAAAAACTCTTGTGGTTCAGTACTACATAATCAAGCAGAAAACCTAGTAGGATTAATGTCCTTCAGAATTAATGATCCAAAGACATTGCAATCCAGCCCTTAGCCTCTATCTCTTGAACCTGAACTCAGTTATTTCTCCTTCCCCTCTATCCCTAACTTCTCACCATCACATCAAGGGCCTGAGGGAGCTGGCCCTTCCGGACCCAGGAGTGCACAGCACCCAGTTCCCGCCGCTGGTCCTCTGAGAACCGAGGCTGTTGCTTCTGCATGGCCCGCAGCCGCTCCCGGTCCTGCTTCAGCACAGAGGCTGTGTCCCTGTGCGAGGAAAGAGGCAGAAGCTGGGATCCAGGGCCAGAGCCAGAACCGGAACCTATGAGACTGGCCGCCTTCCTCTACCACCAGTTCCCACCCACTGGGCCTCCTGCTCTTCCCCTGAACTCGAGGGAGCATCTAAGATCAGAAAACCTGGTAGCCCAGGAGACAAAAAGAGAGTGCTCCAAGGGGTTGAGGGTAGGATGGAAACCTTCAGTTCAGAGATGCACCCAGAAAAGAGAACCCCAAGTTAGCTGGACAGCAAAAATAGGCCAGCCTCCCTACTACCTCTGACAGGGCAGCAGAGGTGGCCTCGGAACTCACCTGGAGGGCACCTGGTAGGTCATCATGACATGCTGGTCAGCATTAGCCATGAGCAGCCAGATAGGATCCTGGAGCACATACTTAATGACCTGGTCCCCAGGCTCAGCCCGGGCCTGAACAGCGACAGCCTCAGCCTCTGAAGAGTCAATGCTGCCAAAGTACTTGCTTGTGTGGCTGCTCTGACTGCTGCCTGTGGAGCAAGGGGTAGGCCAATGGAACCTGCCAGCCAAACTGCACACCCCAAGGCCTCACCAGGCCACCCTCAAGGGACACATGTCCAGCATGTCAGGCTCAGCCAAGATGGTGCCTGGCCCCCCACCTCCCCAGTCACTATCCTACTCTGGGTAAGTGCTGAAAGATGGGCACTCACGAGTAATGCTGGCTGACGTGCTGCCACCCTCATGGGAGCCTGAGCCAGACCCGGAACCCAAGCCAGAACCCAGGGAGCCTGAAGCTGCAGAGCCTGTGCCAGAGCGAGAGTCCTCTTGGAGAAGCAGCTCCAGCAGGTCACTGGAGCCAGACAGCGCATCCTGATTGGAGGACTCAGTTACCTCCACCTGAAGAGGAGTGGAAGGTGAGCAGAACAGGGAGGATGGAGGAGTCAGCACCTGGGCTTCCCTTCAACCACCTCCATGGGGGTGGTGCGAGAGGCACACGCACGCAACCCAATGATCTCTGCCCCTCACTCCATGACGGGGCCAAACAGAGAAGAGAGCTGGTGAAGAAGAGGGATATGATGCTGGACCCTCTCCAAATAGCAGATGCACTCTCACAAGTTTCTGGGATGTCCTCACCACCTGTCAGACAGACAGGACTGTTCCTTCACATAGGAGGCAGCTGATTTCTGCCTTGCTCAAAAATTTAGCTGGGATCTGCCACCCCATCACAGACTCCAGGAGGTGAGATACCAGCCCAGGAGACTCCAAGGCAGGAAGGGGCTCAGGGGCTGGTATTGACGTGCAGGGGGTCAGTGCTCACCAGTCTGGTCTCTGGCTCCACAGGCTCCTCACCGGAAGGTGGGGGCCCACCATTGCTCCCAGGGCCCCCAGCAACAGCACCTCCCTCAGTGCGGGAGGGCTCTTCCAGCTGCAGTAGATTGAGCTGGAGTGGAGAGCTGCATCTTGAGTTGAACAGTGGGGAGTCGGGGCGGTGCAGGGGGCTAAGGGGCAGGGGCAGCAGGGAAGGTGAAGGCGAGTGGGAGGCAGGGGTAGGAGGTCCCTCAGCAGGAGCCTGGTGTAACCCATAGGGATAGCTGGATGGGGTGGGGAACAGATAGTTAGGCAGCACTAAGGCCACCACTGGGGTTACCAGGGGGGCAGAGAAAGCAGCAGGAGGAACAGAGGTGGGGGCGGGGGAAAGAGGCTGGGGTCCTCGAGGGGAGAACACCGGGAGGGGGTAGGGCTGGACCACTGCTGAGAAGGGGTTAGTGGCTGGCGGGGGTGGCCAGGAGCCAGAGGGGGGTACAGGTGAGGGGTGGGAGACAAAGCAGGGGGTTTCAGCCCGGGGGGTCTGATGGTGGCGTGAGCGCTTGGCTTTGGATCGGCAGTGGTGTCGGCGGCTGGGGGGCGTGGGGCCATGGTGGCAGCCTGTGGGGAGAGACTAGGGTTAGTTGGGCCTCAGCCTGGGGGTTAGTGCCCCTGCTACCCCAACTGCCCTGACACACTGACCAAAGAGAGGGCAGGCAAAGGCCCCAGAGAGAGATTTTTCAGCCCACACAGAACACAGGGGACTCGGGAGGTGGCGGCACCTTCATGGAAGAATCACAGCAGCCAGGGACAGGGGGGTTTATTGAGGAAGGAGTCAGAAAAAGGCAAGGGCACATGAGGGGTCAAGATGGATATGTGCAAAAGACAGAGGCACTGGCAGATGGGAAGAGGCAGAGTGGGTCCGGTGAGTAGGCAGGCGGTTCCAGTCCATCTGCCAAAATCCTGCAGGCACTGTCAGCCTGGATACTCCTGCCATTCAAGGCTGTGATCTGCCTAGCTCGCAATGGAGTAATGAGGTGGGCAGGAAAACATGAGCCTGAGCCTGGAGTTCTGTAACGACCTGTACATCTATGCAGGGCCTCCCTTGGCAGCTGGAAGGGGTTATCTTCCTTTTCCCCTTGAAACCTTAATCCCACCCAGAGTTGGCCCACAGTCTATGTGGATCTCTTAATCAGTGACAACTGAGTCCTAGAAGAGCATACTTCCTGTCCCTGCCCTTACGCTATGCCTGAAGTAGCTTACCTGGAACAGAGCAGCTCTACCTGACCATCTAAGTGTCTAGGAGGGGAGAGGCTAGCAAGGGACCTAGCCTTAGGCAGAGCCCTAGTAGTGGAAGCAGCACCAGCCTGGGTCCCCCAGAGCAGAAACATTTCCTTCAAGACCCATCCCTAACAGTCTGGCCCTAAACTGGGCAGAGGAAAGCTCAGGGAAGCCCCAGGAGGCTACCTCGCTCGCCAGGGGCCGAGGGAGCTGTGGAAGAACTGTCAAGTCCACGCAGTCGGCCAAGGTCTCGGAAGCGGCTGAGGAAGGCTTGCTCTTCCTTCTGTGTGTGCAGGGACAGCACAGCCTTGGTCAGGCCCACTGGGCGGTAGGCATCTGGGGCTGGGTCAGGAGCTACTGTGGGGCTTGGGGCTGGACTGGGGCTCGGGCCCAGGGCTAAACCAGGCAGGTCCTCCATCATGATGATGTCTGAGGAAGATGAGATGGGAAAAGGTTATCAGAATCATCTCAGGAGTCAACACGTCCACACCACACCCTCCCTGCCAACAGCCTTGTCTCCCTGCCTCTGCCCCACAGCCAGGCCTGGGCCCTTTGTGTATCTCCTGACCACCTTCCTGCTGAGGGCTGTCCCTGGACCCTCCTCTCATGCAAAGCTGTCCCAGGACAGAAACTACTCAGTCCCTTCCAATAGCCACTGCCCTGCCAGGAACTGCCAGGGGTGATACCTTTACAACTCTTGTTGGAAGGAACACCCACCCCTTGCCCTTCCTAGAGGTTTTTAAGGTCAGTACCCAAAGACCCTTTCAGGGTCAATATTCTTTGCCTCAGACCCTCTGTGATCACCACCTCAGGAATGAGAGCCCCCCAACCCTACCCCAGAATTTACAGTTAAGAATATAGGAAGAACAGGGGAGGAGCAAGCAGCACAGGATGGCAGGCAGACAGTAAGCAGCAGTAGCCCCAGACTAAAAGGGAAGCCTCCTCTCCATTAGGGGTTGGAGGGAAAGGGGAAAGGCTAGCAGGAGGGAGCTCTGGCTGGGAGACCAAGTGGAGTCCAGGAACTGCCCCCCTTTCTCCACGCCCATACCCGACTCCGGGGGCTTCTTGTCTCCCACATGAACGATGGTCGAGCTGAAGCTACACTGACTGGTGACAGACACCACACTCTCTGCCTTATTGGCCAGGGCAAGCGGGCTCAGGGTGCCTCCCACCACTGGCTCCTTCCGAGGAGTGGCCCCCTCCCTAGACAGCACTGCAGACGGTGGATCTGTGCGGAGAGATGTCACCAGTTACCACCCCACCCCACTGTGAGGTCAGGACAGGGGGTCCCAAGGAAGAGGAGGAGGGACAGTAGGAAGGAGTCTGGAGATCATAAGGCAGGGGAGGGGGAGAGGACACATAAAGGTGGGGGTCCAAAGGCAGAACTGTAGAGACCCCTGGTCACCGGGGTAGGTCAGGGCAGTGGGAGCCAGGTATGCATGGGGTCTTTACCTTTCTTGGCCCCCACAGGGACTGGACCTGTCCTTTGTCTGTCATCATCAGAGGCTGAAGAGGCAGTACAGGAGGAGGAGGAAGCACATTTTCTTTTGGTCGTGCTGGGGATGTTGCAGCTCTCCAGGTACCTGATGATGATGAATGCAGCAGAGGGAATAAGGGCAGGACTCTGGGTGGAACAGAGGCAGGGCTGAGGGAGATGGTGAAGATGGGCCTAACCTGAGGATGCTGTCCAGGCAGTTGATCTGCTGGTAGGAACAGCTGGAGGTTTCTTTCCTCTCAACCTCCTCAGGGGCCAAGGCTAATGGGGCCTGAATGGGAGCAGGGACAGTCTCCAGCTCTGGGTCTTGGGACAGTGAGGGAAGGGCCTTGACCTTGAATATTCCTGAAGCTAGGGCAAGGACATAAAAAGGTAAATAGGTTGGGGGTGAAGGTCAGGGCAGCCACATGTCTCACTTCTCACCCCAACTATAATATCACCAACTTACTAGGGAGTCGAGGCCGGGGTGGAGGCCGGGCCCGGGACTCTATGAAAAGCTGCTGTCCCTGGTGCTTCACCAGATGTACATCCTTACAGATCTGCTGGAAAGTTACCTGTGGGATACACCAGAGCAGCAGGCAACATTAGGGCACCTGACCAATGCCAGGACCCAAACACACAAAACAAGGAAGTACTAATAGTGGGATTTGGAGACCTAGGACAAGGAGGAAAAAGCAGGGCAGAAAAGGAAGAGGGTACAAGAAAAAGCTCCAGGACTGACAATCCTGATTATGAGAACAGGAAAATGGGAAATCACAGGGGTGAAGTAAAAGAGGGTCACTCACTGGAGTAGGAGGCCCAGGCCCCTCAGCATCATCCCCATTGCTATCACTGGAGGAGCCAGGGCTATGAAGAGGACCAGGGGATGCCACAGGGCCAACTCCACAAAACCCAGGGGGACTGGAACTATGCACAGGCTGCAGCAGAGAAAAGAATGAGTTAGATATCTATACCTGCTTCTCACACTCTTTGCCTTTCAAGTCCCTCCCATCAATTCCCACCACTCAATTCCTACCTGCAACAGCAGCCGATGGATCTGCTCCGAGAGCTCCTGAATATCAGAGTCCAGGGACAGAGTTGGGCTGGGGGCCGGGGGAGTGAACACATCCTCATTCAAGGGTGCCCTGTAAAGTAGACAAGGGTAAGTTCAGTCCTGGTCCCACCCTCCCACCCATCCCGTGTGCTACTTAGGGTCACTTACGTGCGTACTTTGTGGCGGCCCAAAACAAAGGCCACCTTGCGACTCCAGGGATGTACAAAGCCAGCCCAGCTGGTGTCCATGGTGACATACTCCCCATTGCGGGCACAGAAGCGGATAGGGGAGTGGTCAAAGGGCTGGCCAGCCAACTGCAGAACTGAAGGGAATGAGAAATAAAGTACGGGTCAGTGAGAAAGAAAGCTGAGAAAGGAGAGGCCATCCCAGCAGAGATCTCAGAGGTCAAAGGGAAGAAGAGCAGGATGAGAGAAACTCACTCTTCTTGTGGATGGCCAGCATGAGAGGCCGGTCCTCAGGATGCAGAAAGAGGAGCACTGGGGCCCCCAGGAGGTCTTGGGGCAGGTAGCCCAGCAGTGGGGCAGCCCTGTAATGGAAGAAAGCGTCAGGGTGACCAGAGCCTTGGCCCTAGCCACCCCCTTTCCTTCAAGTCCTGATTTCACCTTTCATCCACATCCTGGAAGAGGCAGCTGGGTGTGTGTCGCGTGGTGAAGATCCTCTTGTCAGGGGGTATTCGAGGAGCTGAAGCACAGAACATGCGCTGTTAGATTTGTCCAAAATGGAACAACTCCTCAGCCCTCTTCCCTGCCTGGGGCCTCAGCCTGGCTGGCAATCCTCACAGCTATCCTCACCCTTACAACCCACAAAGAGGGTCTGGGCCATTCTTGCACCTCAAACCAGTAATAACACTAAGAACCACCACGGTGTTCTTCATCCTTTCTCAGCCCAAGTTTCTCATCCAGCCCTCCCTCCAACGCCAATTTGAACAGCATCCTTCTATCACCTCCTGAACCAAAAACCTAACTGGTGTCTCCCAGACTCTCATTCTGTACCTCAGCTTCAACCAATAGGAAAATTCTTCCTCCCTCCATCCCACACACACACCTAGCCAGGCCCCTGACCTGCCCACCTTCATAACCCGAGTGGATGCGCTCTGCAATGAGCAAGCAGCAGGGCTGTGCAGGGGCCCCATCTGAGACTCGGATCTTGGTCACATATGGGGTTAGCCGGAATGGCTGGTACCGAGGCCCTGGATCCCGGTCAGGACCTCCTCTAGCAAGGAAGAAAGGCACATTAGAGAATTTCAGTGGAAAGACAGCCACCTCTCCAACATGAGGATCATGGCCCACACAGCGATGACAGGGAGGACATAGGAAGGAAAGGCCTTCCTAACCTACCTGATACGGCAGAAGACAGACTTCTCTTGAGTAAAGTCCTTGAGGCCTGAACCTGGGATAGATGAGGAAGGTAATAAGCACACCCCCGTCTCTTCCATGGACTAAAAAGAGCCCAGCAATGGAAAGCCTGTGTTCCCTGACCCCTCACAACAGGAGCTTCCTTGGGCTACCCATCTCTCCCCAAAAGCACTTGGGACACCTCACCTGCAGAGGCCCCAGTGCCCCAGGTGGGCAGACGAGATGGGGCAGTGGAGCCATAGAAAACACCCACATCCTGGGGAGCCAGGAGCTCTGAGAAGCGGGCACCCCGGAACACATCCCGCTTGCACCGCAGCAGGACACCTGCCTGCTCCGAAATGTAGACAATTCGGCCTGTCAAGAAGGAGACAGCCACGGAGAAGGTATCCTAACAGGAGGGCAAGAACAAGGGCAGACTCAGGAGCTGTGGGAGTGGGGATGGAGTGCATCAGGCTGGAGGGGCCAGACTCCAGCAGACCTGGTTTCGAAGAGTGTACTCAGATGTGATGTGCTCTAGTTCCTCCAGGGTATAGGTGGACATATCCATGGCACAAGGCTCACCCTCCTCCAGGCTCCACTGCTGGTAGTAATCTTGGTTGGCTGAAAGATGAGGATGTGCATGCAGCATTCATTAAGGAGACTGACCCCTATATACAACAGCCCACACCCTGGCCAGTCCCTCCCAGGAAGCACCACTTACCTTGCACCTGCTTGACACAGGCCAATGCATACTGTAGTGTGGCGAGGGTACCAGAGCGGCCCTTGCCTCTACGTTCTGGTGGCAGTCGAAGCTTGAGCTCCCGAAGTGCTGTCATGAGTTCCTTCTGGGTCCTTGCCCGGGCCGATTGTTCACTGCTGCAGGAACAAGAGAGGAAAAGGAATACAGACATTAATCCCAGAGTATGGTCCATACCCCAGATCTCTCCCCCAGCCCTCACCCCACAAACCTGCAGCCACTGGTAGAAGGGTTGTCCTGTTCTGAGCTGGCACTCAGGAGGCTGTAGGCAATGGAACTGCTGGGTGGGGATGGGCTCTGGGAGTTTGTGCTAGAGAAGAAGCAACAGCCCAAGATGAGGGACAGGTGACCAGCAGCTTGGCGCCTGTCACCTACCTCAGCTTGATCCTAAGACCACTCCCCAACTTCACAGCACACATACATACCTCTTGCTGCTCTCAGTGGTCTCCAACAGGGCAGAGTCCTTGCCATTGCCAGAGGAGGAGCTATGTGAGCTCCGCTGGGATGCACCCCTGGACTCATTCCCATTGGACTCATTGCCACTTGAGCCATTGCTGTTGGCATCGGTGTCATCAGCCAGGCTGGGGCCTGGGCAAGGCCGGTGTTGTGGGGGGCCAGGGGATGGGACTTCTCCAGGACAAAAGGTTTCTCCTGGCCTGGGGTCCCCTCCCCCATCAGCCCCTTCCAGGGGGACACTCATGTCTAGGCCATGTGGAGGAGAACAGGAAAATACAGAGAGTGGAGATGCCACCACGAACACCCCAAGGGGGCTTTGAGGCCTGGCTGAGGGAGTGAGGTGGGATCTGTCTCTGAGGATTAAGAATGATCACAGCCAGCACCTAGAAGGGGAGGCCAAAAAGGAGAGTTTGTAGAAAGCTTACCCATTTACCCCGTATCACCTGCCAACTTCATTCAGCCCCTCCCCTGCTTGCCCCACATTCCTGGGATTCAGGCCTGGGGCTTCCAATAGGGAGCCAAGGTAAATTCTGTTTCTGTCCTCCTAAAGGTGCTGCAGCTGCGCAATGGATCTCTCTAGGGCCTTCCCCCACATTCCCTGCCAGAGTGGCCTGGGTAAGTGGAGCCTGAGCAATGGACTAGAATTATGGCCGTAGGCCAAAACCTGAACGTTTCACATTCCCAGGTTCCCATAAGGCCCCCACTAGACCTGGGACTCCAAGGCTGCAGAGTTTTTGGGAGAGCTGATCGCCTCCTATATTTAGGCTTCCGGGCTAATTTTATCCAGGGGCGGCACCACCCCCGCTGCACATGCGCACCGACGTGCTGGGCCCCACCACGCGCGCTTCCGCAGCCGCTGCGGTCGCCAAGGAAACCGACGTCAGCTGCTGAGCTCAGCGGTTGCTGGAGGGACCAACAGGAGGGTGGAAGGGGCGACCCCTCCCCCATTTCCCTACGGAAGTGGAGGAACAACCCATTCCCATTTGGGCAGGTTTGACCCGGGTCACCCACCCCTAATAAGAATTAGGTCCCAGGACGGCCCAGTGGAGGTTTGAAGAGGGATAGCCTACTGGGATTCCAAAGGCTGGTCTGGCTTCCCCAGGACGAAACACAATCCCCTCGGCGCTCGCGCAAAAAAACCCTAGCCTCGCTCTCATCTAGATCCCATTCTAGTCAAGACAACACAGCCTTTCTTTCTCTGTCTACCTCCTGACTACAAGACTAAAGCCGGCACCTGCCCTCGTCAAGGATCCAGGAATTCTCTCCTCGGTCTCTTACTTTTCTAGCCCCCCCGCCCCCAGCATTGGAGGCTTGAGCAGGAAACACACAACAGCCATACCATAGTTTTGTTTTTACTCTCCCCGTCCCCGTCCTTCCACACCCCTATCCCCGAGCATTTCGAGCGCCAGAAGGAAAGGGAAAGCTGTGGCCAACAGCAGGAACTAGCTCTGGGAACGGGATGTTCCTGCTCAAAGAGGGCTGACATCACGGGCGGCGCAGGGCCAGGGACTGGCGGGGGAGGACGAGGAGCGCTAAAACCCTGAAGAGGTCTTGCTGCCAATGCAAACCTGAAGACCCCCCAGTGACAAGAGAGGAGACAGGGGGCATGCCGCTGTGGGTCTGTTGTGGGGCCAAGATGGGTAGGACCGGGGAGGAAAGCTGGAGGAAAGGAGTGCGGGTCAGGAGTGAGGACTCCGGTGTAGCGTGGTGAGGAGTACCGAGGTCCCCAGGACCAGAGAAGGGGTGGACGGCAGCAAAACAAATTAGTGTCGTGCTGTCTGAGCACCTGGACTGAAAGTGACCCATCAGATGGGAAGGGGCGCCGGCCGGGGTTGGGGACGAAGACTGGCTACGGGGTGGCCACAGAAATACCTACCTGGCCGTGTGAGCGCCCTCCAGCCGCCTGCTCGATGCCGTTCCACCCAGCAGCCGAGTAGAAGCTCTGAGAGGCCCCCGGAGGCGGGTTGCATAATGCCAGGCGCTGCCCCTCATTGGCCTCCGGCCTGCAGAGCCGTAGGCCCCGCCCCCGATTGGCTAGGGATCACTCCCTGGCGCCTGATTGGCTATTGGCCCCCACTGAGGTCAGGGCTGTGTCACACACACACACACACACACACACACACACACACACACACACACGCGGGCGCACGTGGACCTGGGTGCTGGCACTGGACTGAAGGGTGCAGACACCGCCCAATGGACACAGGACCACCTGCACTGTGAATAATGGAAGGGAAGTGAGGGGAGGTAAGCTGGCCCTTTTTGGGGAAAATGCCCAGGCCACAGTGCTCAAGAAAGTCTACTTCCTGATCTGCCCAGCCTTACAAAACAGGACAACTTGGCCTATCCAGGGGTAGGAAGGGAAAAGGAAGGCAGACCTTGGGAGCTGGACCAAACTCGATGAAATGGCTGGACCCTGTCAGGGACAAACGAAATCCGGCTTGATCTTTCCTGGGTTCTCTCCAACCTTGTCATCATACATAATGAAGCTAAACCCATCCTCTGACACTTCAAATTCTGAAAGGGCAACTGAACTGAGGGTCCACGTGTGACTGGAGGATGAGTGGGTGGAGAATACAGACAAGGAAAGGGGCAGCCAGAGCCAATGGAAGTTATGAAGGGAAACAATGACAGGTGTTTCTACAGCCAATCAGAGAATAGGTCTCCCCGCAGCCTACATGGTGACTAGTGCTTCTCTCCAGAGACATCCACACTTAGGAATGCCCCAAAAGAGAGGGCCAGGAAGCTAGGACTACAGAGGGAGGAAGGGGGCAGCAAGGACAAGTGGCCAACTGGAGCACTAGACACAGAAAGGGGGGGGGTGTCCCCACTGCTTGGAAAAGGAAAAGATTTGGGGGCCCAGTTGGGACTTCATATCTCAGTCACTGTACTCTCTAGTGCTCAGGACAGGAGCTCAACACATGATAGGTGATTGATAAACATGACAAAATGATAATTTTGTTTGTAAAATGGATAGGTGTGGGAGGTAAGGAAGGTGGAGAGTGGGGCTGAAAAATTGTCATTTCTTTAAAGAAGGGTAGAGCAGAGCACTGAGCTCTAAAGAGAAAGTAGAAGCTTGATTTGGGAGAATAAAATGCCCCTTTGCATCCAGGAGAAATTCTGTTACACAGCTCCTTCATCCAGACAGTAATAAGTACAGCAGTTCCTCTCAGGGTTTCATGGAACCATGGATAGCAGGTGAAGCAGCTCCCAGGCAGCTGCTACCAAAGTCAGATGTGGGTGCCTGCCCTTCACTATCACGTGGCCTAAGCTTTCCTTAACAATGGTGTTTCCCCTGGGTGAGCAAAAGGGACAGAGGGAGGGCTCTGTGGAAAAGCTGGGACACAGAGGTGTTATAAAATAACCCAGAAAAACCGTAGCAAGAAAACAAAAAACAAGGATATAGATTCTCAATCTCCTTGATGCTCTCCTGCCCAACCCACCCCCATATACTGTGGCTCTATGGTTGTGTCACTTCCAGAACCTCTTCTCTGCAAACAGTTTTTCTCCTCCCCAGCTCTCCTCAGGAGATTTAGGTGTGATCTGCCCTGTCCCAGGCAGTCCTTGCTCGCCCACCTCCACATCGGTATTTTACAAAGAAAAAAAGGTCCTGCACTCCAGCAGCCTCCACCCACTCCTAAGGCCCAGGTCATCCTACCTCACCGTCCCCTCAGTAACCAGGCTCTGCCGCTGTGAATGGAGAAGAGGGGGCGGGAGACAATGGTGACGTCAAAGCAGAGGAAGGAGGCAGGCCAAGGCAGCCGGTGGAGGCAGCCAGGGAATGTGGGGCAGGGAGGTTGGAGAGGCAGCGGTTTGGGAGGCGGCCAGCCCTAGAGGGCGGCAGCCAGCACACTTGGGAACATCGTGTTCTCTTGGCTGGTGGCCCAGGACATGCACTCAGCTTGGACGCCACCCCCAACCTAACGACAGCCATCCTGTTCCAAAGCCAGAGATTCCTGGAGAGAAGATTAGGGGAAGGGGTCCCTCCCCTGGGCCCCATGCCAGGCTTTCTTTTCAGGACACATCTGCCAGCCTTTCAACTCCTTCCTACAGATCCTAGCATGGTCTTTCCCTACTCCCGAACAGTACACTGGTGCTGGCCCAGTACCAAAGGGCAGGGAAGTGGGAGGCCCAGGTTCTTCGAAAGAACATGCACCTTTGCTCCGTCCCAGAGGCCCCCTTCAGAGCCTGAATCTCTGATTACAATATGGGGAGAGCTGGGGAGGCAGCCAGAGAATAGTCTAGGTAGGGGATGAGGAAAACTGGGATAAAATAGGTATCCCAGTCTGGGACCTGGATCCCTGGAGAGGGATAGAGGGGAGTAATGAGGGAATTTGGGCTGGTGCCTAAAGACCAAAAGAAGCAGAGAGAGGGATCGGAGGAACCATCAATACTTGCAGAAAAATATGTCAATATGAGAACAATTCCCAGCTACAACATTACATAAATCTCTCACCCTGTCATTTGTTTTGCCACCTTATACCCATTTTAAACTACATTAAAAATTATATATGTATGTATGTATGTATGTATATATATATAT